GTGTGTGAATGTATCAGTCTACAGTATGTATGTATGTGTGAATGTATCAGTCTACAGTATGTATGTATGTGTGAATGTATCAGTCTACAGTATGTATGTGTGTGTGAATGTATCAGTCTACAGTATGTATGTGTGTGTGAATGTATCAGTCTACAGTATGTATGTGTGTGTGAATGTATCAGTCTACAGTATGTATGTGTGTGTGAATGTATCAGTCTACAGTATGTATGTGTGTGTGAATGTATCAGTCTACAGTATGTATGTGTGTGTGAATGTATCAGTCTACAGTATGTATGTGTGTGTGAATGTATCAGTCTACAGTATGTATGTGTGTGTGAATGTATCAGTCTACAGTATGTATGTATGTGTGAATGTATCAGTCTACAGTATGTATGTATATATGTGTGAATGTATCAGTCTACAGTATGTATGTATGTGTGAATGTATCAGTCTACAGTATGTATGTATGTGTGAATGTATCAGTCTACAGTATGTATGTATGTGTGAATGTATCAGTCTACAGTATGTATGTATGTGTGAATGTATCAGTCTACAGTATGTATGTGTGAATGTATCAGTCTACAGTAGGTATGTATGAATCTATGTTTAGTATGTATGTGTATGTATGTATGTATGAATGTATCATTCTACAGTAGGTAGGTATGAATCTATGTTTAGTATGTATGTGTATGTATGTATGAACGTATCATTCTACAGTAGGTAGGTATGAATCTATGTTTAGTATGTATGTGTATGTATGTATGAATGTATCAGTCTACAGTAGGTAGGTATGAATCTATGTTTAGTATGCATGTGTATGTATGTAAGAAACTGTGGTTAGTATGTATGTGTATGTATGTATGTATGAATGTATCATTCTACAGTAGGTAGGTATGAATCTATGTTTAGTATGTATGTGTATGTATGTATGAACGTATCAGTCTACAGTAGGTATGTATGAATCTATGTTTAGTATGTATGTGTATGTATGTATGTATGAATGTATCATTCTACAGTAGGTAGGTATGAATCTATGTTTAGTATGTATGTGTATGTATGTATGAACGTATCAGTCTACAGTAGGTATGTATGAATCTATGTTTAGTATGTATGTGTATGTATGTATGTATGAATGTATCAGTCTACAGTAGGTATGTATGAAACTGTGCATAGTATGCGTACATATGACATTGTATTTTACTACAATGAGACAAAGAGGAAAGGAAATCTCTACAGAAACTTTGCACGAGAAAAAACAATCCCACTTGTATTACAAAATGACATTTGTGCACCATGGTCATCAATGTAGCACTTATGATGTTTCAACCACTGAATGGTGAGAAGTTTTATAGCAACGAAAGACAGAAGAAAGACCAAGCAAAGAGCCCCCTTTCAACGTGCCTCCGCTCCGTGGAGACCGTGGGGTGAACCAGTTCTTGCTCACATCAGAGTCAGACAAAACACAGAAGTCCTTACCAAGCACGGTCAACTGTGTCTCCTCGTTAAACAGACAACTTTCTTGTGCTTTCTCAACTTTCTCTGTAGATCTTTATGTTTCTATATTTGGATGCGTTTTCTTTTTTTTATATTTTTATTGGTAACTGTTTTACGACGCATAAGGTCATATGAGCGTGCGGGACACACCAAACATTTTCAGTTTGTAGGAAATTTTGAATTTTGCCTGGGTGACGGCCGAAGCCTACTCTTATCGATTTTAGACCACCAAGGGATCTTTAACGTGCGCAATCTTGCACACCGGACCTCCGAGATTGTTTTACCTTGTCCGAGAAGGCTAGGTGTAGATCTTTCATACCAGAAGATCAGGGGTGTGTCTGAAAGACAGCAGTAAGAAACAGCCAAGGAGTAGCAGTAGAAAGGCTGCAGAAAGAGTCAGGAGCCCAGAAGAGGGGACAAAGGAGGTGAGGGGGTGGGGGCAGAAAGTGGAGACGAAAGCAGACAACCGAACATTGCTAGAGAGCAGGGAACGAGGTGAAAGAAGACAATTTTAGAGAAGAAAATTTTTCCGTCGCTACCCGGACCCGAACCCGGGACCTTTGAATGACAGGCAAACACCGTAACCTCTAGGCCACGAGAGCCCCCATAGGTAAACTGTGTCTCCTCATTAAATATACAATTTTCTTGTGGTTTCTCAACTTTCTCAGTTCATCTTTAGGTTAAAAAATTTGAATGTGTGAGGTGTGAAATATAAAAAATAGATATTCAGCTACTGGTACGATGCTATGGCTGTTTGAACAGAAGATATGATGATCAACGAGCGCCTTGAACAAGCTACGACAATGATGTCTTTGGGTCCAAGAAGTCGCCTGGGTTTTGCCACACTGGTTAGTGACCGACCATCTGGGTAGTAATATATCGTAATAATGATTATAATGACGATACTAATAACAATTATAATAATATTAACAACAGACGGCGTTTAACAAGACATTTTCACCCTGACAGTCCATTGCACTTTACAGAAAATGTTACAGGAACAAATTACACAAATGTTACAGGAACAAATTACACAAATGTTACAGGAACAAATTACACAAATGTTACAGGAACAAATTACACAAATATTACAGGAACAAATTACACAAATGTTACAGGAACAAATTACAGCAACTATTCCTCTGTAGCGAGAAAGAATGATGTCTAAATATGGTCTCTCTCTCCTTTCTATCTCTCTTACCCATTCTTTCTTTTCTTCTCTCTCCCTTATGTGCGCATGCACACACACACACACACACACACACACACACAAACACACACACACATGCACACGCGCACACACACACACACACACTTTGCATGCTTTCATGAAAACACACACACACCAACACTCAGGCCAACACATACAGGAGCATGAACCTATGGACACATTCCCACAAATACTGCATTAGTTAGATAATTCAACAACCTAATATTAATACATGTAGAAGTGTGAAGTCTATCTATGAGTCCAAAAGTATTGTAAGTCCATGGCAGTTCATTCTTATTTCATAATTGGTCGCTTTTAAGGCTTTAAGGACAAGCGGGCTATCCCACATTTCAAGGGTTTCCAGAAATCTTGACCTACACCAAAAGTGGGCATTGTCCTACCTATAGGAGAAGTTTGGTTTCATTGGTGTGTATATTTGTTTGGTTATATAGAGAAAACTCTCCTTGTCTTTTAAAGAAACTGAACAAGGGGCAAAAACTTTACCTTTGATTTTCTCAAAACAGCATGTTTCGGGATAGCCCCCTTGTGCTTAAAAAAGCGAACAATTAGAGGATGTTTTTTACTGGTGAGGTTTACACCCATGCTGCTGGAAAGAAACAACGCTTCGTAAAGTTAGCCTGTACCTCACAGACTGAACAGACAATGTATAGTTAGTTTTAGTAAGAGTTTTACGGCACTTGCAACACAATAAGGCCATATAAGTGCCGAAGATTAAAGGTGTTACAAGAGAGCAACAAACACAAAAAAGAAGGAGGGGAGATAGAGAAGATAGATTTTTTAAAGGAAAGAAGGAGCAAACCACAGCACAGCACCCGCCAACCCCCCACATGCTGTTGTAAACAATACTCGGGACCACAGAGAAAGGTCAACTATTGCCACGCTGACTTCAGTCCACACAGGCGCGGAACGAAACATTTCCACAGGAAAACCAACACCCCTTTCCAAAGGCTGACACCCACTGGCACAAAATCTTTTCCCAACAAAAATTTCCCTTTTTGAGCGAGAAAACATTCCGTATATCGTTGAACTACCGTCTGAGACATACACAAAGTCGACCGCACAGACGGACACAAGGCCATAGAGATCAGATATGAGGAGATTTTTCTAAAGCTCATTCTCATAAACGGTCGGAGAAAAACGTTCAAATGTCATTTCAAAGGAAGAAAAAAGGTAACATGAAAACTGGGAGAACATGCGGTGCAGGGCGTGTGTGGGGCGGGACGTGTGGGAACAGCTGGAGAAACTGACCCAGGTCCTGGACGCCCGGAGAGGTCGTGTCAGCTGCCGATGTCACACGAGGGGCCACACGACGACGTCAGCAAAACTTGAACGGTGATCTTGACTATGTCCATAAAACTTGAACGGTGATCTTCTGTCTCTCATCATTTTCCCCGTTTAAAACTACCGAGTATCTGATTCTTACTAAATAAACACAAACCACACAAACAAGAAAGGAAATCAATCGCTCAGGAAAGGCAGTACATTATTAAACAGAGTCGGACAAAGTCGTCCAGGAGTATTTATAAGTGTTACGGGTTTTCTGATGGCACCAAACATGTTACAAGTTCCGACCACGACCACCTCCTCTGTAATTTGTGCCTCACTCGGTGTTTCAGCTCAGGAGACATTCCACGTGTAACTGGACAATACAACCACTTTTTTTGTGTGTTTTTGTGAGAGTTTTACGGCACGTGCAACACAATAAGGTCACATAAGTGCCAAAGATTAGAGGTTGTTACATGAGAGTAACAAATACAAAAAAGAAGGAGGGGAGATAACGACGATAGATGTTAAATAGGAAAGAGGGAGTAAACCCCACCAGAGCACCCGCCAACCACCCACCCATCAGACTTTCTACACATAGCTGGACAATACAACGACGGCCAGCAGACTTTCACAACAAAAGCTTCTACCATAAAGTAACAAACGTATGTACAAAATCATTGGGCAGAGCCGAGGAAAACCTAGCCGGCCAGTACTTCAAGGATCCACAAACTGAACACTCCAGACACATTCACAACTGACACCGAAAAGAAAGTAGGGCAGGTTGTTGTTGTTGTTAGCGATCCAGTAGCATCTGAGCGTTAACTCTTCTGCATGATGCCATTCGGTAATAGTTGCTGGTAGAGCAGGTAAAAACTAAAGCCATGCTTGATTCATACATTCCTGGTGGATGCATTCACCACCATACCACCATCACTATTACACAATGGTTTTCTTACACACATTTTCTGGAAAACTACAGTAAATGAATGAGCAAAGTAATGACAACAAATTGAGTGAAAACTTTATAGAGTCCACGAGGCAACACACACACGTTCCTTGGAGACACAAGTACGAAACACGGTCAGTTCTCTGCCAGTTGTCACCACTTAACACTTTGCCCCCACGGGCCGCCGATCGGTGCCGGTGTGATATCGCGTGTACCACATCTGTATCGGTGTGATATAGCCTGTACCACATCTGTATCGGTGTGATATAGCGTGTACCACATCTGTATAGGTGTGATATAGCCTGTACCACATCTGTATAGGTGTGATATCGCGTGTACCACATCTGTATCGACGTCGGTGTGATATAGCCTGTACCACATCTGTATCCTGGTCCGTGGGGAGAAGTGTTGCGTGCTCTGCGCGCTGTGTCTGTGTGGGGGGATAGTGTTAAGAGCGCATAAAAAAACCTTAAAAAACCCCAGGTAGTTTGGTATTAAGTGCCTGCCGAAACAAACGAACATTCTGCCGAGTAATGTGAAGTACAAAGTGGTCATCTTAACCAGTGGTCATCTTAACCAGTGGTCATCTTAACCAGTGGTCATCTTAACCAGTGGTCATCTTAACCAGTGGTCATCTTAACCAGTGGTCATCTTGCAAGGGGAGGGAAAACAAATCCAACATCACGGGGAAGGAAATAGTGACCGGCCAGGACTTCTGGGCGCCACCAAAACAAAGTACAACTTCCTGAACCAACTCACGCGTCAACAAACAAAACGCAGCCCTGACACGTACAAATAAAACAGGACAGAAATTAGAACTATCACACAAGAAAGAAAAAGTCTGCGAAATTCCGTGTCTCTCCGCTTTCCATTTTCCCGAAATGTCAGAGACTTGGAAACTTTCAGGAAAGGCAACACCTCCCCCTCCCCCGCCCGGGGGAAAAGTCTTTGCATCACACAGGCCACGACACAACATGTGAAGAGCACAAGGAAAAACGACGGCCGTCACAAACTGGAAATTGTGAGGGTGCCAATTGTAAAATCTTCTGGACTCATAACTTCCTATTTGTTTGACTGGTGGTTTATTGTTCAGTGTTGTTGAATGGGAAATCTACCAACAATAATCAACCAACAGTTGAACAGAAATACAGTTATTAGTCAACAAGCGTTCAAAATTGGTATCCTCGCCAATTTCAGTTTGTCACAACCGTTGTTTTTCCCCTGTAGTCTTCATCGCATGTGTATTGAGGAAGGGGGGGATGTCTACACCCACACATCAGTGGCTTGAGTAAATGTGTATTGAGGAAGAGGGGGGGGTCTACACCCACACATCAGTGGCCCGAGTACATGTTGGGCTGCGGCATGCCAAAACCAGACGTGGGGTAGGGAGGTACCGCGCCCCCCGGGCCGCCAGCGTCAGGGTACGGGGCCTGGTGGTGTCCGTGCACGGAGGAGGACATACCCCAGCTGTTGTTGCCGCCCCCACTGCCCGCACCAGCGCCGCGAGACGCCCCGTACCCGGGCGACGCCCCACCGGGGCCGGTGTTTCGTATCAACTCTGCGAGACGTTCGCTCTTGATGCGGCGTAGGTGCGCCACGGTGCGCTTGGGCAAGTACTCAGTCATGAAGTCCTCAGCGTCCACGTCTTTGCTGCAGAACTTGTCGGCCAGCTCCTGGAACACACAAGTGGGGGGAAATATCAGATAAATATGCTCGCTTTTCAGGACAAGCTGGCTAACCCAGATTTCGGGGGTTTCCAGAAATCTAGACCTACACCAAAAGTGGCAATTGCCCTACCTATAGGAGACGTTTGGTTTTATTGGTGTGTATATTTGTTTGGTTATAGAGAAAGCTCTCCATGTTTTTTTAAAGAACAGCATTTTTCGGGAGAACCCCCTTGTGCTTAAAAGTGACCATATTATGAGATAACCGCTCGGCACATTGGCATTTCATCCCGACAGGCAGTTAACCTGTTTACCTCTCCTAACACTGGGTTACAGTTTGTGCTAGAAGTATTCTAAAATGTGAAGAATACAACCCCGGGGGTACAAAACGACCACAAGGCGTACAGATAGGGTTAAAAACTACAGTTCAGGATAACTCAGATGCCCAACAATTACAAAATATTTCTCTTAAAGAGCCAAAAAGTACCAAAACCACCAAGTGTGTCAATCAATCACCTCGGATTCTTCCTCCGACTTTGCCGTCTCCGTCTGCAGCAGGGCGTGGAGGGTGTCCAAAGACTGGCGACCCACGTACGTATCTGTCCGAGGGAAGGGAGAGGACAACATTGGAAAATAATATATATACAAATATAGCTGCAAAGAGCTGAAAGCATGCACTGTTTATTTTATTTGTCAGTATGTTAGTGTTTTAGCGTCTATAAATGGCTGCTTGCACTGTATGCTTCCCAGGAAGTTGAGGTTGTTTTAGAATGCTCTCAGGTCTGCTGGGGTAATAGTATAGATTGTGAAGCGCATAGAGCTTGTTGTTGAGCGGGGATTTGCGCTATACCAATGTTATCTATTATTAAATGGATTTTTTAAATTTCTGCAGAAAGAGTTCGGAGCCCAGAGGAGAGGGAAGAGGAGGTGACGGGGTGGGGGTATAAAGTGGGGATGAAAGCAGACCACAGAACATTGCTAGAGAGCCAGATGACAGAACATTGCTAGAGGGCCAGACGACAGAACGTTGCTAGAGGGCCAGACGACAGAACATTGCTAGAGAGCCAGACGACAGAACATTGCTAGACAGCCAGACGACAGAACATTGCTAGAGGGCCAGACGACAGAACATTGCTAGACAGCCAGACAACAGAACATTGCTAGACAGCCAGACGACAGAACATTGCTAGAGGGCCAGACGACAGAACATTGCTAGAGGGCCAGACGACAGAACATTGCTAGAGGGCCAGACGACAGAACATTGCTAGAGAGCAGGAAAGGAGGTGAAAAGAAAAAATTTTGGACAAGAAAATTTTCCATAGCATTCCGGATTCCAACCCGAGACCTATTGAATGAGAGACGAACACCTTAAGCTCTAGGCCACGAGAGCCCCCTCAGAGATAAGGTTAGATTGTAACAACTGTCCATGATGGGATGGGACTGATGAAGTTAGTGGGGGGGGGCTACCTATCAGGACAGTTCTTCAACACAGGCTCCGACACACACCTACACGTTTACAAAGCTTGCTCTACTCTGGCGTTGACCAGATGACCCTTGTGTGATTTAAAGAAAACTATCACTAGGATGGCACTAGAAAAAATTATCGCTAGCATGACCCTATAAAAAACTATCACTAGGATGACATTAGAGAAAACTATCACTAGGATGGCACTAGAAAAAACTATCGCTAGCATGACCCTAGAAAAAACTATCACTAGGATGACATTAGAGAAAACTATCACTAGGATGACACAAGAGAAAACTATCACTAGGATGACATTAGAGAAAACTATCACTAGGATGACATTAGAGAAAACTATCACTAGGATGGCACTAGAAAAAACTATCGCTAGCATGACCCTAGAAAAAACTATCACTAGGATGACATTAGAGAAAACTATCACTAGGATGACACAAGAGAAAACTATCACTAGGATGACATTAGAGAAAACTATCACTAGGATAACATTAGAGAAAACTATTACTAGGATGACATTATAGAAAACTATCACTAGGATGACACTAGAAAAAACTATCACTAGGATGACATTAGAGAAAACTATCACTAGGATGGCATTAGAGAAAACTATCACTAGGATGACACAAGAGAAAACTATCACTAGGATGACATTAGAGAAAACTTTCACTAGGATGACACAAGAGAAAACTATCACTAGGATGGCATTACAGAAAACTATCACTAGGATGACCGTAGAGAAAACTATCACTAGGATGACCCTTGAGAAAACTATCACTAGGATGACCCAAGAGAAAACTATCACTAGGATGACCGTACCTAGAGTTGCTTTGTGTGAAGCCAGGTCTGTCTTGAGCGCGTTGACCTTCTCGTACTCCCCAGCCACGTACTGCTTCAGGTCCTCGATGCGAGGCTGTAGCGACAGGTTGTACTCGGCCAGGCTTTTGTTGGTGGCGATCAGGTTGTCGTGTTCCACCTGCATGCTCTTAACCTGATCACACAACAATTATAAATAATATTAATAATAATAAAAATAATAATAATAATAAATAATAATAATAATAAATAATAGTAATAATAATTTTATAGATATAATAATATTATTATCTTTAATAATCATAATAAAAAATAAATAATATAATTAGTAATAAGAACAATAACAATTAATAATAATAATAATAATAATAAAAATAGTCATTATAATCATAACAATAAATAATAATAATAATAAATAACATTTATACAGCACATGTCCCCGCTCTACAGCAAGCTCTATACACTATACACTATTACTATTACCCCCAGCAGACCATAGAACACTCAGAAACATTCTCAGCTTCCCGGGAAGCATACAGTGCAAGCAGCTGGTTAAGCGCCCAAACACTAATAAACTGACAGGAGCTTTCACTGTCTATTATAGCAGGGTACCCATTCCCACCTGGGTGAAGTGAGGACAATTCGTGTAAAGTGCCTTTCTCAAGGACACAATGTCGGGCCCCCGGCTCGAACCCACAAACCCACAACCTCACGATTACGAGTCCGGTAGCCTAACCACTAGACCACCGACGCCACAACATCAGGACTGAGTCAAAACATTTCTTTGGAAACTGATTTTCCTCCATGCTCATGTTTCATTTTTTTTACCATGACAAAGTAGCCAAAATATAAAAGGCTGGAGCCATTTCTTTAGATGTAGTGGTGCAAACTAAGGCAAAGCTTTGTTTTAGAGCTATCAAAATGATACTACTCAAAATGGTGATACTGATAGAGTAAAAGTAATTCTCCAATCTCTTTAACCCTATCCGAACGCCCCAGGGTCATTTTGTACCCCCAGGGTTGTATTCTTCCACATTTTAGAATACTTCTAGTACGAAGATCTCTTTGAAACTTTCAGTATTTCTCTAAAAATCATTTTGATAGACCGCTATGCAAAGCGTACGGATCGCATTAAAAACAAGTAAGTAAATTTCCTCTTTGGAAAGTGGTGGCCCAGAGTTCCCCACGTCGTATGGATATGATAGTAAAACACGACGTACGGATAGGGTAAAATACCGATAATCGATGGTTCAGGTCCCCAAGTCCTCCCATCACTTCTCCCCAGCGTTATAATCATTATCCCGTAAACTACAACTAAACAATATCTTTGTGTGTAACTGTACGACCATCAGACGACACTCACCTGGGGAAGGTCATCGACCAGGTCCTGTAGCTTCGAGTCATTCTCCAGCAGATGTTGCAGCTCGTTCTTGTCGAGATGCTGCAGCAGGGACAGGGCGGACGACTCACTCTGAGCGGACAGCGCTGAAGAACTGGACGACGACGACATCCCTCCGGACCGGGAAGAGGAGGCAGCAGACGCGGAGTAGGCCGAGGACAGCCCGTGGTGTGAGTGGCTGAGGGACTGGCCGCTGGGCATGGCGTAGTGGTTGGTGGGGCTGGCGTCGAAGAGGCTCCCTGAGCCAGCGTAGCCGCTGCCACGACCGTAGCTCTGGTACATGGCGACGTCGATGGTCGGTGCCAGAGGGCCTGGACGGCAGGTGAAGACAGAATAAGGAAAGACGTTATACCTAGATGACAGATGAAGACAGAAGGAAAGACATTATACCTCTAGAAGACAGGTGAAGGCAGAAGGAAAGACGTTATACCTAGACGACAGATGAAGACAGAAGGAAAGACGTGTACCTAGATGACAGATGAAGACAGAAGGAAAGACGTTATAATATCATTAAGTGGTCTGTACTAGGGATACTAGACAACAGATTTACGGCAGAGAAGGAAAGATGTGAGGTTTAGTGGTCTGTGATGATGGAACTAGACAATAGATAGACAGAAAGGAAAGACAAGATTCATTTTGTGGGTGTCATTTATTTCTGGCAACTCATTTGGAGTACTTAGTCAGCTCATTGATGGTATCCTGCTGGGTAAGGAAGTGGATGATCCTGGTTCAAATCCCCAACTGGCCTCTTATTTGGGTTTTTGGGGAGGGTCAGATCAAGTAGTAAAAAGTACACTTTAAAAGTTTGGCGCCTCTTCCATAGATCTAGACCCCCTGGCCCTGGCCTATATAATATCTTACAAACCAGAGCCAGTAGTTCGGCTTGTTTTATTTTATAAAGCAAATATTTTCTAAAAATTTAAGAATCGGTGTAACTAAAATACAGTTTCCCTCAATAGCCTGAAATTTACAGTATGGGGCCTCTAGGCTATAGATCTAGACAGTGCCTATAGATCTAGATCTAGACTCTAGATCTGTCTTAATCTTCTGAACTCTGAAGAACTTGTATTACCTTCCTAGTTTGAGAAGAGTGAATCCAGTTTCAACACTGGATTTGGACGAATTGATTTCTTATCTTCACTTAGGCAGGCCTACACAAAATTAAGTTAGAATCTAGCCTAGGCTAGTGTTCTATTATAACTCTAGATTTTGGCACTTTTTCGATTTCTAGATTTGTAATTAGATCTACTCAATCCACACAACTTGACGATACAATTCAAGTCTAAACCCTAACAGTTCCATCGGTGTCACGTTGGCTAGCGTTTTTTTTTTTTAATCGCAGGTTTTGATGCAAATGTTGAAGCACAACAACAATAACACTTTAACTTGAAATGATTCGTGTCAGTCCAAGTTGTAACGCTTTTTACGTATGATGTGTAACACTTCACAAACAACCTATCTTGAGATCAACTTCAATCAAAATCCATGCCCTTCTTTATTTCGCAACATTGTCCACGGACATGAGTATCTATTTTGGGACTTGGGGCAACTGCGGAATATAATAAGTATCACTGGGGTCGTTGCTAATGTTCAAGAACACATCAGACTTTCTTACAATAGACACTAATACTGTCTACTGTCTATTTTGCTTGACTCAGAGACACTCCACTTCCTGTTTACCTCGGCCACCAAAAGTAGCCTCCCCTGCAGAAAAGCCAGGCCTCTTTGCCAACATTATTTCATTATTTGTACAGCAGCCAACATCAAATATGAGCCAAAGACCCGAGCCTACTAATCCATCTATCTATCTATCTATCAAACTATCTGTCCCTGTTCATTTGGACCCGAATGCCAAATGAGGGGGGGGGCTCGACCCAAACAATGGTGGCCTAGCTAATAATAATAATAGGCTATTGTCACTTGAATTTGTGATTTTGGTAAAATTTAAACTCGGTTACACAAGTTCCTTTTCTTGAGGTGTCAGTCATTTAACTACCATTATTGTTATCATTACTAGATCTAGGCCTAGATAGAGAGATAGAGACAAAAGGGCGCACAAAACAGTAGATCTATGGCGCCGAAGAATTCTGTGATCTACGGTTATCACCAGTTTTTCTATTGAAGGGAGGCAATTGACGATATATTTTTGATTTGCCATGAAAGACAGAGCTGTCTCCCATGCTGTCCTATTTCTTTCGCGCGACAATTGACAACCATAATATTGTACAACTGGGGTTGGTAATCTTTAAGCCGTCTTTCCTTTAATCATCGTTGTAGTTTGTTGCTGTTATTCTTGCTTTCAATAAACCTGTTGTTGTAAACAAAGAAAGACACCTCCATGTCCATTATCATATTCGAGGCGGTTGCTGCTGGATTGGAACCAAAGAAAGAGGTCACGATCTGAACTCTCCAAGTCCAAAGAGCAATAGGCTATGCTACAGAGCATAGTCACGTGATTTGGCGTCGCTAGCAATCAAGATGGCGGCAACTGTTATTATTTTGCTTCATTCATTAACGTTTTTGCAGAGAATCAAGTAGATTGTTTGAATCAGTGCACGGATCATCAGTCTATTCGAATGCACGGTAAGGCTGAAAGTTTCACTTACTGTCTAAATGGTCTAATGCTTTTAGATCACAGAGCAGATGTTAGGCTAGATTTATCTAGATCGAGATTTTTTATTTGTCGGTCTTGGTCTTGTCATGTTTGAAAGATTCTGAGAATCAATGGACTTGTTTTTGTTGTTGTTTCATCAAGAAAAGGAAATAGGGTACAGTGGATCTAGATCTAGATCTAGAATTGTTTAATAAACACATTTCATGATAACTTATATATTTTTGTATATTGAGGGAAAAAGAACTTATATTTTTGTCTTTGTTTATATGATATTATGATTTATAGCAAGAATTGCTTTTTTCAGCTGGGCCAGAGTCTGGAGTCTGGAGTTCAACCACAGTCTCCTAGAATCTAGACCTAGATTCTAGATCTAGATCTAGATAATCTACTTCTGCCTTCAAGTCAAGAAAAAAATGTGAATGATATCATCTAGATCTAGTGTGTGTTTGTGCTGAAATGAATCTTAAGTCTTAATTATAATTAGGTCTACTACAGTATTACATTCTTGCATATATGTATATTATATATGCTGTCTCTTATTTTTCTCAAGTCAGTATGCACTTAAATTTATGTCTCAATTTTTGCAGTTTTCTGATCCTGGGATATTCTCTGCTTGGCTGGAGACTTCAAAGGTCTTTTAGAGCACAAGTCACAAATGGTAGATTCTAGATATCTAGATCATGCATCTATCCTTGACGCTTGACAGCAGCACAAAATGTTCTTCTTGGCAAAGTGAAAGCGGAAACCTGGCAACATTATAATGTCAAGTGTAAGTAAATCAAAATTGTTATCAGACTTCAGTTTGGAATGGAATTTGGATACAGAATCCATACCTTGTCAAGTAACCTCATATCAATTAGGCATGAGTTAAATAAGTATATTTGCTTGTCAATACACGCGCGTATGGGATCAAGCACTCGTCAGTTTTTGGGCAGAATTATTGATAAACTTAAAGCCCGTTATTTCCCTTGCTTTTGGTAGAAAAAAATTACTCATCTGTTGTCAATAAAAGTGGAGATATATCGCATTTGAAGGAGGATGTAAAATGGCCTGTGGTGTCTGTAAGTTGGCGAGAAAATCCAAATTTAAGTTTGGTGACTTCCAAAGCTGTATCGTGTTCTTGGAAACAGCCGGTTTACATTTTTGTAGCCTTTGATCAACATGGTTCAGTAAAATCCACACAAAAATGTGTTTTCAAAAGGTGTTGAGCAAAAAAAAATTTGATAGAAATTATTGCCCAAGTGATTGAAAAAATGCTGGTTTCTCTGATTTCATAATTTTGATGGGCGCCTGAATTTACCGTGACATGCCTCACATAAAACTGTATATTTAGAATAAAGACATTCTTTGGTAACTCCAGGGATCAGGACTATACACTGTTAATGCTGGGTTGATTAATTGTGCTGTTATATCTGAATCATGGAATGAGTGAAAGCCAAGCAAAAATAGGAGGATCTGCATTTGTTCTGTGTGTAATATTGCGGTCTATAGATTGCTATTAACCCATGTCTTGTTCTGTGTGTAATATCGGGGTCTATAGATTGCTATTAACCCATGTCTTGTTCTGTGTGTAATATCGAGGTCTATAGATTGCTATTAACCCATGTCTTGTTCTGTGTGTAATATTGCGGTCTATAGATTGCTATTAACCCATGTCTTGTTCTGTGTGTAATATTGGGGTCTATAGGTTGCTATTAACCCATGTCTTGTTCTGTGTGTAATATTGCGGTCTATAGATTGCTATTAACCCATGTCTTGTTCTGTGTGTAATATTGCGGTCTATAGATTGCTATTAACCCATGTCTTGTTCTGAGTGTAATATAGCGGTCTATAGATTGCTATTAACCCATGTCTTGTTCTGTGTGTAATATTGCGGTCTATAGATTGCTATTAACCCATGTCTTGTTCTGTGTGTAATATTGCGGTCTATAGATTGCTATTAACCCATGTCTTGTTGTGTGTCTGTTGTTGTCGCCTGTCCCAGGGAACTAGCAATCAGACGTCCTCATCAGAAACCTCGGACGATGACTTCCCCGTGGCAGCCATTGTGTGCCTCGCTGTCGGAGGCTATGTGATTTTAGTCATCATTGTTTTGTTGATTCGACACAAGTTGGTGGTGAGTGCTTCGTATATTTATTCACATGCTTGTATTTAATTAATTTTCTTTGCTAACGTAAACTTTTAAGGAAATAGCTGACTTATAATCATTGTCTAAACATTTCTGTTGTACATCTTGGGGTCCTGTCATTCTAAAATTAGCAATAGAAAGTTGCAACAGAAAAGATCTTTCTTTTTAGAGGAAGATACCGAGCCTGCACTGATGAAGTCAAAGTCCAGAGCCAGAAAAGATCTTTCTTTTTAGAGGAAGATACCGAGCCTGCACTGATCAATTCAAAGTCCAGAGCCAGAAAAGATCTTTCTTTTTTGAGGAAGATACCGAGCCTGCACTGATCAATTCAAAGTCCAGAGCCAGAAAAGATCTTTCTTTTAGAGGAAGATACCGAGCCTGCACTGATCAATTCAAAGTCCAGAGTGCAGCTTTAGTGACAGAGGCTCTTGAACATTTGGAAGATTTTAGGTTAGAGGAAATGGCATGGCTAACAATGTCCAGGCATTTCGTATTGAAACTTTCATATTATGACAAACGGGTGCAGGAAAAGATGTCCATTTTTATTTTCTATTTATTCTGAAAATTTCTGGATCAAATTTTCCACTTCATTTCTGTATTTTGGGGTGTTTCGACTCTCCAACTGATCGCTGTGCGCTGATTGTGACTGTATTTTGACTATATTGTGATTGTACTGTGACTGTATTGTGACTGTACTGTGACTGTATTGTGACTGTATTGTGGCTGTACTGTGACTGTATTGTGACTGTATTGTGGCTGTACTGTGACTGTCTGTTTAACTGATCACCGTGCACTGACTGTATTGTGGTTGTCTCTGTCGGCCTCCAGTCCAAGGGAACCTGCAAGTCGGACTGCTCTAGTTCGGTGGACGGAGGAGGTTGTTGCCATGGTTACTGCCTGAAGCTCTCGGAGGCGTGTCCCTGTTGCTGCGGCACCTGTCCCGACGGCTGTCTGTCCAGAATCTGTGGCAAGCGAAAGGTATACACGGTACTCTCTGTCCCTTCTCAGTGGTACTCTCAGTCTTTTCTCAATGTTCTCCTCCCTTCACCCTCTCTTTTTCTTCTCTCTTCTTGTCCCGTTGGCGCTGTATTTGTGTGTGGAGTACTAACTCTTGTGCTGTATTTGTGTGTGGAGTACTAACTCTTGTGCTGTATTTGTGTGTGGAGTACTAACTCTTGTTTCCTCAACTCACCCATTTGTTGCCCCAGTTCACACGACCATTTTTCTGAATGTTTGAGGGATTCATGTGCTGGGATCTGTGTTGAATGATTCTCTGAATTTTATCCCAACATTTAGTGAATGAGAGGTTTTTCTCAAACTGGTTCCAGCTAAAATAGGCAAGGATATGAAGATCTTTCTCTCTCTCTGTCTCTGTGTCTCTGTCTCTCTCTCTCTCTCTCTGTCTCTGTCTCTCTCTCTGTCTCTCTCTCTCTCTCTCTCTCTCTCTCTCTCTCTCTCTCTCT